GTACATTCCAAATATTTTGAGAGAAATGAGAATAAATTTGATTTTATGGATTTGGTTTTGTTRTAATATTTAGAAGAAAGCTAAATTTAAATATTATGATACTGATGTCTTTTGGAATTAAATTTTTTTTATGGATACAAYAAATTAGGAATACACGAGACTTCGAACCTCTAACTTTAAAAAAATAAGTAGATATCAATTATCACTAAACTAACTATACCGACGTTCGCATAATTAACTTAGAGTTACATAATACTCTCAATACATGTTACCATAATTATCATAATCTATGATGAATTAATAAAGAATAAGTTTCATGTTTACTAAGATTGGGGGAGGGAGAGATACTAAAAAGGGACTATCAAAGGGAAAAAATGAGTAGAAAAAAAAAAGGAAATTTAGCATACATACAACGTCCTTACTTAATGATAAAAGATTAAGCTAGTAATCTAATTAAACTAAAGCTTTCTCCTTTTGCTTGAAAGATCCTTCTCTCGATTTAGTTATGTCCATTTCAACAACTATTATTTCATTTTGTTTATTATGATTATGGTTCGACTTTTTATTTTAACATAAAGCTTGGTTTATATCTTTAGTCAACGGTCATTTACAAATGCAATTAAATGATATTATTAACTTTAATCAAGACTACCACGCATTTTGATTATGGCCAATAATAAGTGGAACTTTTGAGCAAGGTTAGTGCATTTCCTCACCAAATAGGTAACTATTTACAAGAATTTTTATTGAAATGGATGGTTATTGGTAGGTCTAATTAAATTAGTGAATGAAAATTGACATACACAGAAAGGGATAAATGTACTTTCACATGATTTTCTGAAATCTATATATGATAAAGAGATAGGGTGAGGAAATGTCTTTTTCTTTGGGAAGCCTAGTCAACGGTGGAGGGGGTGAAGCAAGTATTAAACCAAGACCAAGAGCTACTGGGTGGAATTAGATTCGTTCAACATCTTTCGCCTTCTATATCAACTTTGGACTCAGGCCTTACACTAAATTGAGACTAGTTCGAAACTACAAGCTGAAATCGTTCACTCACATTGGYAGAGAGAGGAACRTTGACGTAGCACGTGTCCTTTTTTAATCCCATTTTTCTATCGTGGCTTTCTCTGTTAGTTAGAGATGACCGTTAGTGTTCTCTGTTTATTTATATTRGATGACTTTRTTATTGCATAGACGAATTTTAAGAATAGACTTCTTACAACCACACCACTTGAACCACAATTTTTTTTTTCTTGAAACTCAACTTGAACGACAATTAAACAAACTAGAGTGAAGTTTTATATAGCATAAGTAATTAATCACTACYTYTTTTWWAAAAAATATATTACATATGTGGGGAAGGGGATAACTAATTAATATCCAACAAATAATTAATTTTATTTCTTCTCTCAATTCTTCATTTCTTATAAACTAAAATTGCACGTATTAGTCAACTTAAACTTAAAAAAGATCTTAATTGTTGAACTATATTCAGATTAGCAAAAATAAGAAACATAAAAAAAAAACTAAGGAAAAAATTATAAGTTATAACCTTAGCCTTGGGATAAATTAACTTCGTAGGCTAAAAAATCAAACTTAAAACAAAAAAACCTCTAATACCATTGATATAGTCTTACGAGTATTAAAAATTTATATGATATAAAAAATATCATAAAAATCTTATATTCCTCATACACCTTAGATAATTAACAGTTTTAATTTACAGAATTAAGTTTATGAAAGTAATTTGTAGCAAGGTAAACATTATTTTATTAAAAAAAAAGAGAGACAAGCTCTAAAGGAGCTGCGAATAATATATTTAAGGAAAATTACAATAGTTAACAAAAATCTTTTATATATTTTAAAATATGTCACTTATTTTTTAAATTTTTAAATATACCAAAAATTTTCACTATATTAAATGTATATCACATACATATCGTAAATATATCAGACACTCATATTAGATATATATCACCTACATATATCAGTAGTCAGATATATTATAAATATATTACGAATATATTATACATATATATTACAAATATACATCATTTGGGTAAAGTTTGTCATTTTAAAATTGGACCTCTATTTTTTTTAAACTGCTATATTTGAAAAAACTAAATGTGTTTGCTATTTTGTAATTTTACTAAATATTTTTGCCATATTTACAACTCCCTCTATATTTGAATCGAAAATAATAGCCAAAAGCACTCAAAAAAAAAATTTCAACAATAATAATTTTATAATTTTCGAAAGTCAGTATCATGAGAAAAAGTAATTTTTTAGCCAACCTGAACATTAGTCCAGTTAATGCACCAATTTTCAACTAAAAGGTTACGAGTTAGAATCCCTACTCTCACATCCACGTGTTGTACTAAAAAAATGAAATTTTAACTATATCAATAATTTTATATTTTATTTAAAAAAATGACAAAATGTGTGATTTTCTAAATAAGGTATACAAGATATTTTGTACTTGTTTTTTTTTTCCTTTTTTTCTTTTTTTGAGGATATTGTACTTGTTAATTTTGTAAATTAAAAAAATGGACTGCTACGAGTCTAATGTATGAATATATCATTTTTATAATTTTATTCTTCTTTTATAATTTAGTCTTGTAGTTATTATTATTTTTGAATAAAATCCAAAAACAAACATGATTTTATAGAAATAGTTGATGTAATAAAAGTCACGTAGCCATGATTACTTACCTTACGCGTTCACCATCCCACTTGCTAGGCTCCATAACCATACCGATATTATCCATTTTGAAAAAAAATACAAGAAAAAAGAAAAAATCGAGCATATATATGACTAACTCTGATTAATATATATATCATATCAAACATTCAAATCACCATCCTAAACTCGAAAAAAAATTCATTTAAAAAATTCAATTTATCATTCTTATTATTTAGTTTAAATTTTATTTTAGTATCTCAATTTATTTTATCTTGATCTCTAAATTTTAAAAATATTAAAAATAGTTCTTGAACTTCAGAAAAATAATAATTTTGTTTCTTAAACTTTTAGGAATGTTTTAGTTGATGAACTTTGCGAAAAAGATAATTCTGTGACATAATATTTGCTCACCTAAGCTACTGTCAAACCAACTCATCAATGTAGCTCTAATACATGTTTACATCAATATATTGGTGCACATATTTGAAGTTAAATTGCCATAAATAAATAAATAATTGATGATAATATAATGAGCGAGAATTAAAAATGGTTATATTTTAAAGGTTAATGAATTTAAATTGTCAATTTGAACCTATATCAATRGATTATGATATTTATCTCCRATCAAAAAATTGTGAATTTGAATATTTACTCCCACGTGTTGTACTCAGGAAAAAGAAAAAGCTTATCGATTGAAATTAATTTTTTTAAGCTAGATTGAGTAAGAATTAAAGATCGATACAATTGTTAAATTAGACAAATAAATATTTTGACAGTCTAGCCACTGAGATGGAATAAACTTAAAAGTTTATGAATTAAATAAACCTTTCGAATTATTAAAAAGCCAAAATAAAATAATCCTAGAGATTTATTGAGGATAATGTGATTTAAACTAAGAGAAAAAAAATAATTTTTACTAAACTTGATAAGTTGTATCAATTTTATCTTGAAATTTCAATTTCGTCAAATTGAACCATAAAATTGGAAAAATATTATTCAATTTTCACTAATTCAACTGTTAATAATCACTAATTTAATGAAAATCAAACTTTGCATAAAATTAAGTTTGATTAACACAAAATCAACCATGAAATAACTATGTCAAAATCTAATAACTAAAAGAAAAATCAAGTATATTATTGTTTTTGTCTTAATCCTATCCATTTCATATCAAATATATGTTTCATAATTTATTAGATGTCATGAACATATTTTTTTTAACCGTTCTTCAACGAAAATTTATCGAAAAATAAAAATTACAATATCCTTTTAAAAATTAAAGGTGAAAGATTATAATAGTTGTCCAAATTTAAAGTATTAAAAATTTCGAGTAAAAATGGATACCCCTTTCCAAGTCTAGTGTAAAAAGGGAATATTTTTTTCCTAAAACTAAATTATTTTGTTAAATCGAGAGAAAATATCTCCGTTTTTCTTTCCCTATTTTGGACATTTCACCTCCGCTCTTCAGTTAGCAATAATAATAATAATAATAATAAATAAAAAAACTAATGGCGCCCACGCGCGGTCCAAAAAGCGTGAGCGTGGGCCCCACTCCCGGTTTTCCAGTTTAAGAACTTTTGTTCAGTTCCGCACCTGATTGCCGCCCACTTCAGCACGACACTTGGCCTTATTACACTGGTTGTCGCCTCAAACTCGGATCTGCTTTTGTTTCCACCGTGACGTGGCATTTCGCCCCTTTTTCTTTTCTTAAAAAAAAAATTCTTTTTTTTGGACTTTTATAAAATTATCTCATCCTTCTTCTAATCTATTATATAAAGAAACTCAATTTTCTTTGTATACTACTATAAACTTACATAACCTGTTATTTATAGTGTGATAATATGATATTTGAGCATAATTTTGAAAAATATTAATAAACAATTTATAGTCCAATACTATAATTTTGGTTAATATGAATCTTTCCAAGATTTTTCGAGAGGAGAAAAAGGAGAGCAAATTCTAAATTTAGAAAGGGAAACAAAACCGATCTCRTTTGAAATAAATATAAAAATAAAAGAAAAAAAATCCCCAACAAATTAGACATAATCGGCAATTTTCTTTCTTCCTCTGCCCTCTATTTGTGTCATTATGTCTAAATTTTTCCATTTTATTTTTCCTGAAAATGAGAAAAAAAGGAAAAAGAAAAAAAGAAAAAAGAAGAAGAAATTCCAAAACCGGCAAAATCTTGCATTAATCACTGAAATAAAACCCTAAAAGGATATCTTGTAAGAATATATCCGGTGGAATCAATCCCTGCCGTTCGTTTATTTATCCAACGGCTCAGATCTTCCCACCTCTCGTGCTTATCATTCCCCTTCCTCACTTCACTGTCTCCTTTCTTCGCTTCCTTTCTCTCTGTGAAACTAAAAAAAAATGGCGAAACGAAGCCCGTCTTCTGCGATCATCTTTTCTTTCCAGACCCAATCTGATTCGCATATTACTGTAATCTAATCACTAATCAATAAGTAAAAGAATCTCAAGTTTTGACCTGTAGAGCTATTTTTATGTTTTTTCTTTCTTCCCCTGTTTGGATTCTTGTCTGAAGCTATGGGGTGGTTGTAATTTTTGAGCCTGGGAATTGGTTGTTTGAAGCTTTCAAACGGAACCCCACTWTTRTTTTTTCGATTTTGAGCTCGTTTTTAGCTCAAAGTTGGGAGCTTTTTCTTTTTCTTCTTCTTCCGCAGTTCAGTTATGGTTACGGATACTTATTCCAAATTGGGGGCCGAAATTTCAATGCGATCGACGCTGAAAAGTGGCGATTATGGCGAGGATTTGGGGCTGTTGATACGGCAGCAGAGGCAGCACCACGAAGCTGTGAGTGATAGAGAGAAGGAACTCAGCCTCTGCCGGAGTGGCTCTGCGCCGCCGACCGTCGAAGGCTCTTTATCCGCCGTCGGCGGTATGTTTAATGCCTCGGATTTATTGGGATTCAACAAAACCGCCGGAAAAGGGTTTGTCTCCGATGAGGAGCTTCGCTCTGATCCTGCTTATGTCAGCTACTACTATTCCAATGTGAATCTGAACCCTCGCCTTCCGCCGCCGCTCCTCTCGAAGGAGGACTGGCGGTTCGCGCAGCGGTTGCACGGCGGAGGGGGTGCTGGGGGATTGGGGGGAATTGGAGATAGGAGGGAGGGGAGTAGAGGAATTGGTGGCGATGAAGGGGTTAATGGGAATGGGTCACTTTTTCTGTTGCAGCCTGGAGTCGGAGCCAAGGAGGATACCGGTGTCGAATCGAGGCGGGTTGCTGGTGATTGGACTGGCGATGGCCTTATCGGGCTGCCGGGTTTGGGACTTGGGAGTAGGAAGAAAAGCATTGCAGAGATCCTTCAGGTGATTATGCTTTTTAACAGTTTTTATATGAGCTTGGCTACTTTCCATTATGTATTGTTTGTTCATTCATGTTTTCGGGAAGATTTCTTTTTCCTCAAGTAGCTGTTAAGTTCATAAATTTTTGTTTGTTTTGTACCAATTCTGATGATCCAAGTATTCCTAATTGAACTAAATTGCATTCTGTTTCATGTTACTTATTATGAGTATTGTACTGATACTGGTTATGTTTTGTCTTTTCTCTTAATAGAAACTTTATTTTGTTAAGTTTCTGCTATATGGTTTGGTTTTTCATGGCAGGATGATTTAAGTAATGGAATATCCCTCTCCCGACATCCTTCTCGCCCGACTAGCCGCAATGCCTTTGATGACGCTCTCGAATCTTCGGAAGGCCAATTTGCTTACTTGCATCAAGATATGGCAGCAATTGGTGGGAACAAACAGGGTATATCTGCAGTCCAAGGAGTTGGTGCCTCCGCTCCTCATACTTATGCATCAGCAGTAGGAGCCTCCCTGTCCAGAAGTGGAACTCCCGACCCTCAACTCGTAGCAAGAGCTCCGAGTCCTCGTATTCCTACAGTTGGTGGAAGGATATCTGGTCCTGTGGATAAAAGAAGTTCTTTCAACGGGGTTTCGCTAAAGGCGAGTGAGTCTGCAGACCTAGTGTCTTCTTTTTCTGGCATGAATTTGTCGACAAATGGTATTCTAGATGACGAGAGCCACTTGCGGTCGGATATTCAGCAGGAGATCGATGATCATCATAACTTCTTCAATATGCAAACTAATCAAAATGATATGAAAAGGTATCTGGGTCTAAAGAACTCAGACTCTGGGAAGTTTCATCTACACTCATCTTCTCAATCAGCTAGGGGGTCTCATCAAAATAATTCTCTTGGGTCGGGTGTTGATCAAGCTGAATTCAACAAGCAAGGTGTTTCATCCCCTACTTCATATATGAAGGGGCCATATAAACAAACACTTAATAACGCACGAGGTTCCCCGTCTCACAATCAGAATATTGACAGTGCAAACTCTTCTTTCTTGAATTATGGATTTAGCGGCTATACGACTAATCCTCTGGTTTCCTCCATTGTTGGCACCCATCTTGGCAGCAGTAATTTGCCACCGCTGTATGAGAATGCTGCTGCTGCATCGGCAATGGGACTAAGTGGCATGAATGCTAGAGCATTTGGTGGATTACCTTTAGGATCAAGTATGTTGGAAACAGCCACCGAATTTCAAAATAACAACAGGTTGGAAAATCATAATACTATTCAGTTACCTGCACTGGATCCGTCGTATATTCAATATTTGGGATCAAATGAATACGCTGCTGCACAGGTGGCTGCCGGAATTACTGACCCTCCGTTGGATGGTGAAAGCTTGATGGGCAATGGATATATGGATTTACTGGGAGTCCAGAAAGCAGCCTACCTTGGAGCATTGCTTTCACCTCAAAATTCACAGTTTGTTCTACCCTATTTTGGCAAATCTGGCAGTTTAAGTCATAACTACTATGGCAACCCAGGGTTTGGTCTAGGCATGTCGTATCCTGGGAGTCCGTTGGCTGGATCGCTTCTTCCTGGCTCTCCTGTTGGGTCTGGTAATTCCATCAACCACATCGGTAAGAACTTGCGCTTCTCTTCAGGAATGCGGAATTTAGCTGGAGGTGGCATTGGAGGTTGGCATTCTGAAGCTGGTGGCAATATGAATGGAGGTTTTGTGTCTTCTTTGCTTGATGAGTTCAAAAGCAACAAAAGCAAATGTTTTGAACTTTCAGAAATTGCAGGCCATGTTTTCGAGTTCAGGTATTCGCCATTGGACGGCTTAGACTTCTTCTATGCTATTAGTAATGCAGCTCGAACTGAATGTAAATGTTTCTCTCATTTTCCTTCCAAACAGCTCTGATCAATACGGAAGTCGATTCATTCAACAGAAACTTGAGACTGCCTCCATAGAAGAGAAAGACATGGTTTTCCATGAAATTATGCCACAAGCTCTTTCCTTGATGACCGATGTTTTTGGTAATTATGTTGTCCAGAAGGTATTTCTTTTTTGCATTGACTTTGATCCCGACTTGCTTTCCATACTTGTATTAAGCATAAGATCATGGATTGACAAGATTGAATAACTACTAATTTGTTTCCGATTTGATTACGAGCATCGAGTTGTTTAATGTCTGTTGGCATCCAGTTTTTTGAGCACGGAACTGCATCCCAAATAAGGGAACTCGCTGATCAACTCAATGGACACGTGCTAGCACTTAGTCTTCAAATGTATGGCTGCAGAGTGATTCAAAAGGTCCGCTTTGCTGCTTGTTGTCTTATCTGAAAATCTTCAGATTCCTTTTGCATCACTTCCCTTTCACTTTTTGAGACGTCGCTCCCTGTTCTTTTATACAAACTTGAGTTTGAGCTAAAGTTCTGCTGCAATTTTTACACTAACCAAAATAATTTGGTCTCTCAAACATCATTTCAGGCAATTGAAATGGTTGACGTTGACCAGCAGACTAAAATGGTTACAGAATTAGATGGTCATATCATGCGTTGTGTACGTGACCAAAATGGGAACCATGTTGTACAGAAGTGCATTGAATGCATACCTGAGGACGCCATTCAGTTCATTGTTTCGACATTTTATGATCAAGTCGTGACACTGTCAACTCATCCATATGGTTGTCGTGTTATACAGGTAAGTTATTTCATACTGTTCCCTCTGATCTTTTATGAACAAAATTGCATCATTCTACGAAATTTTCTACAATAATCATTACATTTATTGGTTGCAATGCTAAAATCATTCAATAATTTCCTCTCACAGAGAGTCCTCGAGCACTGCAACAACCCGAAAACGCAGCACATCATGATGGATGAGATTTTGCAGTCTGTCTGCATGTTGGCTCAAGATCAGTATGGAAACTATGTTGTGCAGGTTTGTCAATAATCAAGGCACTCTTTTTTAGTAGTTGGAAGGGCATTTTAAGTAGCTCTGGCCTGCATGAAAAATTGCTTATCTCATTGAGTTGTTTTGTAGTTTTTGTCACCAAAGTGCTGTAAGTTTCTAATTAGTTGCCCTTGATCTTAGCACGTGCTCGAGCACGGGAAGCCGCACGAACGCTCTGCTATTATAAAGAAACTGACTGGGCAGATAGTTCAAATGAGTCAACAGAAGTTTGCCTCCAATGTCATCGAGAAATGTCTCACTTTTGGAACTTCTTCTGAACGCCAGGCCCTGGTGAACGAGATGCTTGGTACCACTGATGAAAATGAGCCCCTTCAGGTATTGTCCACATCCCCTCGAGAAATTCCTCCATCCCCGACCATACCGAAAATGAAAGTTAATATAAAAGATCTCTATTGCCTTGGTATGACAATTTTAAGTAAGCCAATTCATTGTCTGCTCCAAAAGGAGAAATTTGAGAAAGATATTCCTTTCTCTACCTGTTTCTACTGCATTTTTTTGGTCTAAAGCACGAATTTTTATTGTCTTCCATTTTGAACTTGTCGTCCTGCAGATTCTTATGGAAAAAGGAAACCCAACGAATATCTTAACGTTCTTTACTCTGTTGTCAAATCCAGGTTATGATGAAGGATCAGTTTGCAAACTACGTTGTTCAGAAAGTGCTGGAAACGTGCGATGACCAGCAACTTGAACTAATTCTTAATAGGATTAAAGTTCATCTAAATGCTCTGAAGAAGTATACCTACGGTAAGCACATAGTCGCTCGTGTGGAGAAACTCGTCGCTGCCGGAGGTATGATCTCTCTATCTACCAATTATTTTACTGTATCTTTTTTTTTTACTTCTGTACTAGGTAGAACGTCCTTTAGAGCTTCAACCTATTCAAAACTTGCATGCGGTGTGAGGTGGATACTCAGTAAATGAGCGAAAAGGAAAAGAATAACGAGCGAGAATAAAACAGGATAGCTAGCAAAGTAGTGTTGGAAATTAAAAAAGGAAAAAGAAAAACACAAGGGAAGAGAAAATAAGAGATAGGGAACTCACACCATTCACTGGAAGTTCTCGAGTTTGTTCTTATGTTCGATCTTGATTGATATTATTTCGTTTCTTCAATGTCGGGGTATCTAAAACGAACTCAAATTGCATTGACAGAGAGGAGGATTAGCATTCTGGCTCCGAAGCCAGCGCAGATGGGTTAGGAAAACAGGGAAGGAAGTTGTACAGCTAACTGAGGATAGCACAAAGCGCGGTCTCTCTTTCCGCTTCCGTTTAATGTCTGTCTAGTAAGTAATAGCTGCTGTATCTATATGATTCAGATAGAAGCTGACTTGAAATAAGAAAAAAAACAAAACAAAACAAAACAAAAAAAAGAAGAAAAGAACTGTTGGCTGTACATTTTATAATCTGAGAGTATAGAGAAAGATGAAGGTAGATGAAGAGAGTTTGAGGGACAGATGAACAAAAAGGCCGATGCTGCCCCTAAAGAGAAGAGATAAGAAGTTTTTAGTATTTGAATTTTGTTTTAGGCTGTAAAAAGGGAGGAGGAGGAGGAGGAGGAAGAGGAGGTAGAAAAATCAAAATGTTTGATGATCAGATCATGGTTTGTACAAATATTAGCTTGGTGGAGTTATGCTTTTGTTTTTTTCTTTTAGGATTTTTCTCTTCTGATGATGTATGAGATTTTGATTCTTCATCTTTGTTATTTCAACTTTTTTTCTTTCTTGAAGTTGAGTTTTTTTTTTCTTCCTTTGCTTGTAAAATGTTAATTTAGTAGGCCATTTTGTTGAATTATGGGTCGTTTGCTGTTTCATCAATAACGACTTTGCTTGAATAGGATCTGTTCTATAGGTTGTACTACTCTGTGAAGAATCTATGATGTATGTATGATTTTAAGAATTGTTATCTTCTAGTAGGCCATTTTAAAAATGCTTTTGAATTTTCAGCTAAAGGTTTTGAAATTTGAGTACAATTTTTAATTAATTGTTTTTAAAAAAAGAATAGAAGGGTTATCAAATGCCACTTCTTTTTTTTTTTTTTGAAAATCAATTAATTAGTTTTGTTTTTACGTTTTAAAATTATTCAAACTTTTGAAATAAACCACTTTTAGTTTTTAAAATTTGAATGAATTTTATAATTATTTTCGGAAATAGATTGAACAACCAAGATTTGTAGCAAGTGAATGTGAGTTTCAAAAGGTACTTTTTTTTCTTCTTTCTTTTTTTGAAACATTTCAAAGGGTACTTTGCTTGGAAGAACTTGAGATAATTGATTTTTGGTTTTTCTGTTTCAACTGAAAAATTGGTGGAACGGTTTATTTATTTATTTATTTTACTTTCTATAACAAAATCTTTTTTTTTTTGTCCAACTAAAAAGAATATTAATTCATTTCTTAAAGAGCAATGCACAAACGCCTATAAAGACTATTTTTGGTTTCAATTTCTTCTATTGAAAAAAGTCTTCTTGAAGTATAAAACAAATGCATTTATCACTTTATGGTAGGGAAATTTAAGTGCCCACTGTTTCAATTTTTATAACTAAAATATCAATTTTAGAGAACAAAAAACCATTATATTATATTATCTCTCTCCTCCATTGTCAATGTATCCAAAGCATATTGAATTTTCAAAAACTTATTTTGAAAAGCAAAGGTTTATATACCATCATTTTAGTTTTGGTTTATTTGCTTCTCAGAGTCTTTATTTTGGCTTATATACTTTTAACTTTTGTTCATTTAATTAGTGTATCTTTAAAACGTTTGTTTTGGTTTCACTACGTTTAAAAAAGTGATCATTTTTAGTCCTATTTGTAAAATTTTAACACATTTTTATTCACAGTGGACTCTCTTTAATAAAAATTTATGATATATTTTAAAAATTTAAGGAGTAAAGTGTCATACTAAAATTATGATCGAAATAAATAAGAAAAAAATAAAATTAAGGGTTTTACATACACTTTTTTGATTTTTTGAAATACAAGGACCAAACAAAATCTTTCGAAAGTATATGGATTTAAATGAACAAAAATTGAAAATATAACGATCAAAATGACATTTAAACATTTAAAGTAATATGAAGTAATTTTACTTTTTTTTTTTTGTAAAAGAGACTTATCGATAAAACTTAGGTGCTTATGGCTTCTTTTGATAATCAATTCAACTTCTAACCAAAAAGATATACCTGGGTTATATTTCATTTCTTCGGCGTTAGCGACTATTCTCAAGAATCAAGAATCAAAAAGAGAGGGAAGCCCTATAAGTCACGGGGAAGGTTCGTTTATAGGTTCATTTCTCTTAATTGTTTTTTTTTTGTGACAATGAGAGAGCATCTAAGTTTTATCTTTTAATCAATATTCTTTTGTTCCCAAAAGTAGACATTGAAGAGACAAATGGTGATTCCCAACACATGCTAGGTAAGCAAAACATGGATTTTGCTCATTCATTGACTTGGAAAATACATTGCTAGGATCAACATTTTTCACAATGCACATTGAAACACAAAGTTACAAAATGGGACAATAGAAAAACTTAGAAACCAAAGTGACAATATAATTTTTATTTTGATATGTGATTTGCTTCCACAAAAGAAGAAAGAACAAAAAGGCCTGAAAATATATAGGTCAGGCAAATCCGATCAGCATCATGAACACAACAACTTGAGTCTCACCATCTTCTTCATTTTCATCAAATCAGATCAGATCAGATCAGAACTCAAGCTTTAGAAAGCTCCTCTGGTAATGGCATCTTCATTGGCATTGCCAAGAGCAGCTTCATTCAAGTACTTGTCTGCCAACTGCACCCTCTTCACATTCTCTTGCTCTTGAACCAGCATGTTACCATACTCCAACAGCTTCGCCAAGGTCATCTTCGGCTGCTCGAACTTCGGTGGTGGCTCTTTCGAGTTCACCAGCTTCTTCCCCACGCCCTCCACTCCGACTCCGACGATCCAATTCCTTACTTCGTCGTCGTACACTCTTGCCCTCAATGCACCGAAGAAATCTGTGTGCAAGTTTGTTTCAAGAAGTCAGATAGACTTGCAAGCTTCTACTTTTAGGTTTACTACAGTTTAACGAGAAATTTTAGAGTTGTCATGTAGTTCTTAAATAACTCATAGATGTTATAGGATCCTATATAATTCTTAAAAATGTTGCTGACTTACAATAAATGAGTTGTACTTATATTTTCTAACATGTTTAGTAAAGTTCCTGTGCTCAAGCTCTTGTAATATCATTTAAAAATGAGGAGCACATATAAGAGGAGTGTTGGGAACATTAATAAAAGATTAAAGATACCGTAATTAACTTATTAGCTTAAAATTTTGGGTGAGAAGAGACTTACCAATGGATTGTCCCGGGAAAGTATCGACCAGCTTGACAATGTCCTCAACGGGGACGTTGTCGGTCCTGAAGATACCTGTGCACACACCGATACGATCTTCTCTGGTCGGAGCCCAGTAGAACTTCTCCATACGACCGTCACGAATCAAGGGAGCGTAGAGGGTGGAGAAGTCGTTACCAGTGACGATGATCGGAACACGGGGGTTGTCCTCCTTGTTGTACATTCCGGGGAGCTGGACGTTGGTGGGGTTGTCGGCGATGTTCATGAGGGTGGCGTTGACCATCTGGTTGTTGACGGTGTACTGCGTGGTGCCGCCGAGACGACCGGCACCAGCGTCGAGATCGTTGATGAAGAGGCAGGACATCTTCCCCTTCTTGATTATGTCCGCCGCCTCACGGTACCTCTGACGGATCAGCTTCGCCGGCTCTCCGGCGTTTCCACTTTCCAATTCTCCGGCGCTCATCATGATGGGGCTGTAACACAACGCCAGAAAATTAGTGTTGGTAAAGGAACTACTCTAGACAACTATACAAGCTTAAAACTCGCGAGTTCAAAACACGATTCACTCACCTGATTCCCATCTTGGCAAATACGAGTTCACATTGGAAGGATTTCCCTTGTCCTTTGCCTCCCCAGATACCCAAAATGAGAGGAACCTAACAAAATACACCATTAGTAAGAAAATTTTCAGAGGGACAAAATTTAGAAAGAAAGTTTTAAAATTTGGAATTCTTTTATAATTTTTTTAAATAACCAAAAAAGGCAAATTGAACCTTACTTTCCCCCTGTCACTAATTCAAAATTTTCTTGTAACGCGAGTTTGGAATAATTTTTGAAAGGATAAAAAATGCTTTTAGCTCAATTAAAAGAACTTTTCACAATTTTTCAAAATACACTTATAAAACAGTTCCAAAAGTACTTACAAAAGAAGTATTTCATCTAAAAACACAATTTTTCTAAAAGTCATCTTGAATTCTTTAAATCTGCAGGGATTTAAAACCTTGATGTTTGGGAGGGTCATGAAGTTCTTGGAAATGTGAATGACCAACTTGTCCAGAAAAGCAGGAGCAATGTAGAAACCATCCATGTTGTTGTCCAGATTGTACCTATATATGAACCGTACAAACCGCGGTTATCAATCAAATCGAGGAAAAATTATAAAATATGGCCGCATTAATAATTCGTTGGATGCAAATTCAAAATCTGTATGTGTTTTGATAGTCGATATTTTGACTACTTACTGTTTAAGTCCAGTACTGAGGTATTCATAAGAGCTCATAACAGCATAATGGGTTCCATCATTCATGGGGGCCTGGAAGAGGGAGTCCACCATTCCCTTTCCTCTTGTGATGTCTTGTTGGTCGTCGGACGTGTCATAGGCGAGCCCTCTCCACTTGTCTTTCGACGTCTGCTTCTCGAGATCTTCATCAACATCTGACGCCACCACCTTGAAGCTGCCCGAGGAGGCTTTCGAGTTGACGATTCTCGAGTTCACCGCTTTCTTCAAGCTGCTACCGAAGAACACCGAGCTTGGAACTGAAGTTGTCGAGCCAGAGCCGTTCAGGCTCAACTAAAGAACAACACCGCAAAACGTCAGAGATATGAATAAAAGACTAAAATTTCAGAAATCGAGGTACTCTGTTCAAACTCTTAGTTAATATAATTATCTCTGGAGTCACTTATTAAACTTTAAGCTAACTTTCAAGCCCATAAACAGGGTGAAAATTAAGAATACAAATAAAAGATTAAATTTTTACAGTGAATTTTCTCTTATAGTCACTTATTAAACATTGTCTGACAGCTTAAACTTTTGAGTACCGGAGTAAAGAAAATCCAGAACTATCTCTTTCGTACAAAAAAAGAAAGGGCCAATTACGATTCGAGTATAAAAAGAAGGTTAAGAACTCACCGGGGCTCGGTTGACGACTCCGACGGTAGCGGCGGAGGCGGCCATCGGGTTTTCGTGGGTGTGTGAAGGGAGAGCACAGAGAGGAAGGTGATTGGAGAAGAGGGATGATTGGAGGATAAAGGGCAGTGGGCAGTGGGCAGTGACTTTATAGAGGCAATGGATATGGTGATTTTGAGGCCATTGAAAAATGATATCCTAACCATGAGTTTCTGCAATTCTCAACAACCACACAGTTGAGATTGGCTGGAGGGACACGTGGCAGCAGGACAGGGCTTGTTAGTTGATCCTCAGAAGACCCTAGTGGTTGGCTTTAAAGGGACCTTCTTCTCCATAAAAATTATGGCCATTTCATTGTCACACAACCAAGCTCACCCATTGGTCCATTTTCCTCCAAACAAAAACAACATAATTCCTAAAGTTTGATTAAAAAAAACCCAATAATTTAACCTACACAACCCCGTCGTGTGAAAATTCTGCCGCTTTTTTAATCCAACTTTACATTTTGTGGTTAAAAAATACGAGTAAGATTCACTTATCTATTTAAATACAGTAGATTTAGATCGCGATACAATTAAACTAGGTAAGAAGGTTAGTGGAAACTCTTACTAATTAGTACAGACAGAGAGGATGGAGTTTTAAAAATTTATTTGTCTATTTTTAGATTGGATTTGGAAGGAGTATTTTGATGTTATATGTTAAATAGTACTTTGAAAATAAGAAAAAAAAACTTGCTCTCATTTTCTTATTAGTATGATATAATTTAAATAACAATAATGGTGTTTTTTTTTTAAATAATACTTCATTCAACCGAACTAGTGCGCCATTAAGGCTACCAAGTTTTGACAGTCGCTTTAACAACGCTTAGAAGCCAATTAGGAAAATTGTTCAACCACAAATTAGGATTTCCAATAATGAAAGATTTCTTTGATAAACAATGAGCAACTTTGTTTGATTCTCTGCAGCATGCCTAAAAGCGCAAGCATTGAATGATTTGGCCAGATGCTTCACGTAATCGTCCACCCAGGACGCTTCTTCTCCTTGCCAAGCAATGCGCCAGTCGCAAACCCTCCGACCTAATCGCGAGGATTTTGGCCATCAGAGAAGAGATACCACCATGTGTAAATCAACCAATGCCGCCTGAATTTCGTTTCTATCATTGCAAATCAAGGCCCCAATTCCATATATATCCCCTGTAATCGAAGCGTCCGAATTAATCTTCATCAAGAAGCCCGCAGGCAAAGGGATGATAGTAATATTAATGTTTTTAAACAATAATTGTGTTTAAAAATATTACATTATGAATTATAAAAACAATTTGAAACTATAACTCAAATAGATAGATACTAATATTTCATCATAAATATGATCTAAATTTAACTCATTTATAGTATTCTACATTCATGTGACATCCTAAGCATAGTTCGAATCTCACTCCCACATATTATACTAAAAAAAATATATTCTTCATTCGGTAAAGTGATGTAATTTTTAAATAATAAATGTAAATTCGAAAATATAAGGATGTCCCGATCTGAAGATTGAGCTTCCAAAGAGGAATTTGAATCACAAGTTCACGTGAGAGGCCCATTGGCCATTGGTGCTTTGAAATTTTGGATGTACAAAATTATTGAAGTATTTGTTTTTTCCCATCAGATGAGAGGTTAAGAGGAGGGATAAGGATAGGTTCATTTTCAGCCTTCCCTCTTCGTAACAAAATCCAGAATTTCCATTTCATTTTCTTTTCGCTCTCTACTATTTTAGATCGTATGTATTACTGGCTTGATTTAGTCCTTAATTGTGCCCCACATTGGGACCGAGGGCACGATGCGCATGACTATGACCTATGATTTTAAGAATTAATATATCATAAATGTCTTTGTAAAAATGTTATAAAAAATTTAACAATGGGTACAAAATGGAAATTATTTTTCCCACTTTCTTACTACTTTAGAAATTTAATTTCATCACACTAAACTAGGAGTATAAGTGAGAGGTGAAATAAAGGGAGAGAAATGATTGGTATGTGGATGAGTGGTCTAAATTAGGTTGAGGGGTGGGAGAAAATTAATGGGCATGTGAGAGAGAATTTAATTTGTATGAGACAGAGAAAAAAATGTGCGGGTAAAATTATTATTATTTATCTTCAACATGGTAGGATGGATAATTAAACCATCTATGATTGAGGGAGTAATATGTGTTTTATTCGAGGTTTTAAATGTCTATGTAAATGTCAAGACCTCAATTTCATGGAAATGTTGATAAAATATCGATATTGATGGATATTTAAGTAAAAGTTAGAAAAATTAAAAGAATCGTAAAAAATATTTAAATGAACAAATAATCATTTTCCTATTTCTAAATTAGTTAAAATAATTAATCTTAATATTATGAATATATTAGTGATATTTTATTGATATTTGTAATATTTTGTCGATTTTCTTGTACTCTGATGTAAATGTTGAATTACCCCTTATGTCGATGTCGAACCCATGAAAACATGAATATATCGATGGAAATGTCGAATATTGATTGATATTGATGGAAATATCGATGGATATGTTGAGGAATATTTAAAATCATGGTTTTATCCCCGATGAATTTAGGGTTTGTTTTGATATGTTTATTATTTTCAAGATTAAATTGATTGAGTAAATATGTTTTTGTCAACTTTGTTTTTTAAAACTATTTTTGTATTATGTGATCCTTTTGAAAATAATATTGTTTTCACTGTTTATTTTAAACTTTAAAATACAAAATTATATTAAAAAGATAAAAACTTTGATAAGTATATTATTTGATGTTCTAAACTCGTTTTATTTTTGTTTTCTTTATTTATTAATTTTTTAGCACACTATGGGGTGGGTGATCGAACTCACAACCTCTTTTGGTTGAAGATATATATATGTCAATTACCGCTATATGTTCACTTCGACATTCATTTCATTTTTGTTAAAATTAAACATGTAAAATATAATATACTATCACTTATATAATATTGCAAAATAACAATTTTACAAAATTTATAACATATATGTTAATAAATTATTAATAGTATTTTAGATTCACCTAAATATTAGTGGGTACTATTATTAGTTTACAAATATATTACTAAATACTTTAAATAATTTAAATTTAAATTGAGTTTTAATTTACAAATCTACTATCAAACATATATCTAAAAACACTAATAACCTTAATTTTGTGTTTTTTTAGTACTCAAAAGTTACATGTGCTCCAGAGAGAGTGATGGACCAAAGAAAGAGACACGTGGCTCGAGGAGAAAAAAAAAACCTTGAGATGATAGCCTATTGGGCTTTTAAAAAGTAAGGCTTCCAAGCCCGAGAAAAGCCCAATGAAAATGATAAAAAAAATTAAAAAAAAAACTCTTGAAATTTATGGCTAAATATATTTTTACTCTCTGTTTCGTATTTTCGTAAAAAAATGGTAGACGTGGGCATAAATAAACTAGTAATTAAGACGTTATTTATCTATATAAAAGTTGCGTTATTTATCTGTATAAAAGTTAGAGGTTCGAACTTCGATCTTTTATTGAACTATAATTGACATAGAACATTATTTTGTACAGACAGAAAGAAGATGATCGTTATTTGCCATTTTGATGACATCATATTTATCGGAAATAATAGTAGTGCTGTGTTTGGGAGGATCAAGTCCATGGAAATATGGTCTTTAAACCATATAATCTGTACAGGATGATTGATGGATGAAATACTAGATATATTCTAAATTTCTCGTACCCATTGGCTAGCTTATGGAAATAAACTGACTGTTTGCACTAATTTGGACACGAATGCGTGAGTTATATTGAAAATACTTAGTAAATTATTTAGATCGAAACTTGAATTTGCACTGATTTGCACTTTACTAAGTCCTAATTACTAGAATTTAATTAACTTAGAGTGAGTCTGAGATGTGGTTAGAAAAAATGTTTTTAAGTGAATCATTTTGTATAAATATTAATAAATAAAAAGTATATAAAAGTGATTTTTACATGGTTTTAGAATTTCTCGATCTAGTTTCAATTATTGAAATTTTTAATAATTAGTTAAAAATACTTTTAATTTACAACTCTTTAAAATTTTATTCATATACTACCAATTTTCTATTTGAAAAGAAAAATAATTTTAGTCTTCCTATAAACCCTTTAAAAAGGGTGCCAAAACATTTACTTGATCAAAACTACTATATATATACATGGATAATATTATTGTGATTTCCAATTTTATAATAACTAATCAAGTTTTGTCTGGCTAACCTAAGGTTAGCTCAGTCGTAATTGACACTCGTTTCTAAATGAGAGGTAAGTTTGAATTCCCATCCTCATTTGTTGTTAAAAAAAAAAAAGTTGTGTGCTAGCGAGAGACGTAAGATTAGAAACAAGAAATAATAAATAAGTTGAATTAAGAACGTTACACGTGACTTAAAAAACCTAAAAACTGTAACTTTTTTTAGGCCAATCACACTCTCCGGTTTCTATTTTGTCACTAAAAAACCCTACTCTCCAAATTTCACTCTTTATCATCAACCTTTTTTTTTCAAAGGGATTTTATTTTTGCTGCAACAGCATATGGTTGAGATACTCATAAATCAATTAAATTTACCAAATCCATCCGCTTGAGTTTTTTGATTTAGTAGTGTTTTATTCATCCTTAATATAGTATTAGAGTGAGAGGTCTTGTATTCGAACCCAATGTCATATGTATGATGATGGGAGCTATGAGTGCAGGTATGTAATCGTTAATTTGACTTTCTTTGCCACGTCCAAAGCAAACATATTTAGTTAAAAAAAAAAAAGATGATGTCCAAGAAAAACACATAAATATTCTAGAGATTTAACAAAACTAATTAGATCAACAATAAACTAACTAAATTCATACATTTAATATAGCCTAGCTATGTGTATACCATTACATCAAATAATACCAAATTAATCAGAACAATGTCATTTCAAAAACAGAATAGGTTCCACAAACAAAATGGCCAAGTTCAAAACCAAACAAAAATGGAAAGTAATATATTGCATCAATCAAATCAAGAGCCAGTTTGTCTGTCTTTTTTACTTTTTCCATTCTCTTGCCAGTGCCAACTTGTTTGTTTGATTGACAGCTTAAACAATTGGAAAAGAATTTACAAAGCACAATAAAAACCATATTGCTAAAACTGGCCAAACCAAACAAACAGACAAACATTAGTAATTAAAAATTGGAAAAGAAAGAAGAAAAAAAAGTGTGAGGGAATATGCACATGATGATACACAAAAAAGACACTTAATTTCATCGTTAAACTCGAAAACCAATAAGCCAACCCTCCACCAATATCCTTAATTTGAATTATTCCCATGCCCATGCATGCATTTCATTGCACAACCAAAAGCTCAGAATTGACACAAAGTTATGCCTCACCCCTCAAAAAGTATAATATTTTAAGTTACCCTCGAGACATTTCACCCAAGAGATTGGCCTAGTTAGTGGGACAAGTTTTGAAAAAAACTTAGGTGCCTACGAATAGATAAGACAAATTTATGAATGTACGAAAAAAGAGAGAGAAAATAGAATAAATATCTGTCAAGGATAGTAAGTTGGAGGATACTTACCTACCACTAAAAACTTAAGCTTTATCCATATTTTGAAGAAAAAAAAAGAAAATCCTACCGTTAGAAAATTTAATGATGGGCAGCAAAAATTTCTAGTCTTATCACGAGCTCATATTTTTGTTGCAACTCCCTATCTCTCCTCTCGAGGAAAGAAAAAAGTATATATCTTTATTTCATCTCTGGTATCTGTATGCAACAAAAATTTTAGGTTCACCAAGATAAATAAGTTTTTAAGAGGAACAAATTTTAGCGGATAGTACTACTCTAGTTAGTGACAAACTTACTTTGTAAAGATGTAATACTAATTAGCAAAAGATTGATGCTCATGTTTTCATTGTAACTAAATCTCCATGCCTCTCGTTTAGAAAAAAGTTTATGTTTTTATATTATCGTCATCTCTTTGTAAGACAAATAAATGAGAGAAAAAATATTTATAAATTTTTCATCTAAAATTGAAGATACAAAACTTGCATAAATAGGCAAATTGTAAATAATAGTCTTAGCCAACTAAAGCGATAATTATTTTAATCAAAACATTTGAGTTCTTAATTATTAAAAAAAAGAAATACAGCTACGACAAATGTTTTATCTTAAAATAACATTTAAACTCACAATACTGCAACAATATCTTGCATCTCTCTGATTTCTTGAAGAAAGTTTATGGTTTTATTTAATATAATTTTGATCTCTCTAGAAGAAAGTTTTGTGCTTTTTTATTGCTAATAACTGTTGCTTATGCTGCTTGAAGCCTTTTGTTTTGCATTGGGAAGACAAAAAGAAGGGGTTGTTTTACCACTAACACCCATAATTAAGTGGCCAACAGCCAAACCCCATTAGGTTTTAGGATTAAAATATGAAACCATAATCCATAATTAATTAAATAACTCTAATAATTAAGGATAATTATAGAGAATTAACTTATGCAGACAAATAACTACCACGACTCATGCAAATCTATGTCCAAATTCCAAGCCCTACGCTTTGTGTTCTTTTTTACTTTTTGCACAAAAAACGAAGAGTTTGTTTTTGTTAGCCGAAATGCACCAACCCATCTCTTGATTTTGACTCAAAACCATTATAATAATAAATTATCAAAAATGGGGTTGCCAATTTGGATTTTGCTCAAGAAGGGGCTCCTTTTTCTTCTCGAACAAGGGTTGGATTTTGTTGACATTTTTTTTAATGGAGGGACCTAGTTGATTATAATATATTTTTTCTCTACATATATCGAAGAATTTAGAATTTTAACAGATGAAAGACGAATTAATGGTATATTTAGCTTCTTTTTAGGAAAAATGGAAAAAAAAAATGAAGGATTTAATTAAAATTTATTTTGGTCCCCCAGATATTCTGGATGGTTTGGGGTCTCAAAAAATAATCTTGAGGTCTTAGGTGGGTATGAAGACAATGCGCACAACCGACTCCTAGATAATAATAAAAAAAATTTATTTTACTCTATAAACTTGTAAGTATTTTGTTTTATTCTTTAAATTTTATATATACAAAAATCTCAATCAATTTGGAGACCTAAAACTTAAAGATGCATTATATATACATATATATATAAACATCTTATTTACTCTCATTGGTACACCGAACGTAAAATTACATGTGCCTTGTATAGTATTATATTTAACAAATTTACAAAATATTAATAGTCAAGGAATAAAATGATTTTTGTTCTACGCAATTTTAGGATATACATATATTAAAAATGATAAATAAGAATGGGAACGAAAATATTATAAAAATTATTGCATATCAAGTTTCTGAAAACTAAAAATAATAGCAAAATAAATAAATAAAGATGTTACCAAATTTGGTGACTCTAAATATAAGGCTAATTATAAAGTCTAATAATTGCTTGACTATAAACTTGATCATTTAAGTGGCAAAAAATAAAAAATAAAAAGATTTGATCATTTAAGTCGATATGATCATAGATTTAGCTGTAATTGACATCTATTCATTCCCTTTAGTTTTAAGGTTCGAACTTCCATACTTATCATTTATTTATTAAAAAAATCTTAAATATCTAAAAACAAATATTTATGACTATACAAAATATGAATAGAGAGTATTTGATGCTCAAGGTGAAGTAATTGAGATAGACTTTATTTTGGGACAAAATTAGGAAAAGGACAATATATACTTTGAAAACATAAAATGACAGTTTCTTGTTCTTCCTTGTTTCAACATTTGTTTTGAGTCGTTGCCGACAGAGATTTAAAAGGAAAAGGCATTAGGGTTTGTTCAACCAAAATCTTGAATATTTCTTGTTTTTTAGTTATCATTATGCATATGTATTAAGATATTCATTAGTTTATCAATTAGAATTTTGAATTATTTTTGCAAAGTTTATCGTTTAAACTAATAAATAACAAAATCAATAAGTTTAAAGTCAAAACAAAATTAGTTTAGACATCTTTGATAATAATTTTGTTTTTGAATGAAAATTAAGCTTCTTAAACACTACCTTCGGTATTTTTTTAGTTTTGTTATATATATACTTTTTAATATTTCTTCGAAAATAAAAAAAGTAATTTTTTCTATTTCTCATGATCGATGTTGTATGCCTTATGCTAATGGGTCCTTACAACCAAGGTAACCTACCTTGGACCGAGCAATATTGTGACCAGTGCAAGGCTCAGACTTTAGACCTCAAGGTACATAGGTGTGGTACCTCAAGACCCCAAGCGCTTGTGATTGCGCTATCCCCTGAGAGACTAAAAAAACAATTTTCAAAAGCTTATTTTTGCTTAAATTTGGCTAAGAATGTAAATTTCTTCTTGAGAAAGGTGAAAATATACTAAGAAAATTGTAAGCAAACAAGCATAACTTTAAAAAACTAAAAGCAAATAAATAGTTATCAAATGAGGCCTTTAGTGGTCAAAATATCTCTATCTTCTTCGAGGTCGTGTAGGTTTTGATCATTAGCCCGATATTTGTTTCATTAATCTCTCCGAACTAAAATTTGACAATTATCTCTCACTCCATGATATTGAGTGTACCTTAACCCTAACTAAACTCCGTCATCTTTTTAATTAAAACTTATGTTTCCTTAAACCAAAGGAATAACTCATCCAAGTCTCTCACCAAATTCTTTTCCACAAAATCAAGTTCTCATTATATGAAAAATCCAAATATGAGCCTTTACATGCTAATTGAATTAGCTGAAATCAAACACTTGATCACATCCAAATAGGCTCTTTGAGCCCCATGATCATGAGATAAGAAATGACGACTAATTAGTTTTAAGTCTCATAATTTTCCATGAAGAATCTTTCGAAAAATAGGCTCTTTTAAGGCACAAATTGGGAAAGCCCTTACCCCAATATGAGACTGACATTGTAGCCCACCAAGGAGACCCCCCTAAAAAAACACACAAACTTTACCTAAAAGTGCTTCTGCCTTTTGAATAGATCAAAAAGAACCCTACCCACCAAAAAAAAGGTAAAAGAGAAAAAACCCATAATGCAAAATGATGAGTTATAAAGGCCAATTTTTCTTGATCTTCTTTAATCTTATCAAACTTGACTTGTGCTTAAAGGAAATCTTATAATTGTGACCTATAATGACAGGGTTTGCCTACTCTTCTTCTTCTTTTTCTTCTTGTGGTGCCTGCAAATTTCTAAGGCGAAAATGCAGTGATCAATGTGTTTTTGCTCCTTTCTTCAGCTATGAAGAAGCCACTTCCCATTTTGCAGCTGTTCACAAAGTGTTTGGTGCAAGTAATGTTTCGAAGCTTCTCTTACACCTCCCTGTGCACAATCGAAGCCACGCTGCCATTACTGTTGCTTATGAAGCTCTTGAGCGAATGCGAGATCCCACCTATGGCTGCATTGCTCACATCTTCGCATTGCAGCAAGAGGTTGTTCCAAAACCCTAAAAGTTTAAGCTAATAGATTAGGATAAATTTGATTTTTCATTCATATTCTTACCCCTCCTATTCGCGATCTTAGAAAATAGTGGGTGCAATATCCAATGAGTGATTATCAATAGTAAATAAGAAAAAAAATAACATCGCACTCATTTCAAATATAGATTCATGTTAAATCGTTACTTAACCTAGAAATAATTAATTTTATCTCAAAATCAATTGGCAATAAAAAGAGTAGCCTGGTTATAATATTAACTTTTGTTAAGGCCCCTTATCTTTTCAGCGTGGGATCCTTTATAACATACCTTTTCAAGATGTTGCTCTTTTGGGTTCACCAATCTTGGTCGGGTCTCTTTTTTTGATCGAATACTCGTTTGAGCTTTTAGGCTTTGATATTATCAATATTATTTATGAGGTTCAATCTCAAAATCAATTCACAATAACAGGAGTAACGCACTTATAATATTATAAACCATTTTTGTTATATTTAATCTTTTTAACTTGAGATCCTTGACAATAACATATCGGTGTTCAAACACAATATTTTCTATTATATCAGGTTAAACCCACCTCCAAACCTAAAACCTACGTTGATGGACTACAACAAGTTCACTTTTTTATTCATATTCTTAACACTCTTCCCACTTTAACAACTCCATCGAATCTCCTTCTCGCAGGTTGCAAGCTTGCAAGAGGAGATAGAAATTCTCGGGAGCCAAATAGCCAACTTCACCACTGCAACCGACACCGTTGCAACGACCGAGAATCCGTTTATAGAGCTCCAAGTCTCGCAGCAGCTGAGTGATTTTGTGATGAACACAGATGATTATCAAAATCATCTATTTTCTCAACTGCCTCACCAAACTTTTGATCATCGTGGCCAAAACGATGCTCAGATGATATCTCCATTGTGTTGCTTAGGGGAAGAAAATGGGTATTTTGGGTGTAACCCAAATGCTATGGAGAACTTTGCTTCTTATCCATGGTAGTTAGTTTTGGTGAAGAATAAGCTAAGAGATTGAAATTTTGTAGTTGGCCGTTGGCATGGAAGATGAATATTGGTCAACAAATTAAAGTTGATAACTTTAAGAGATATAAGGATAAGTTATTTGGTTTTTAGCAAAGGGTTTTTGTAATTTTATGTTGAAGATTTTCTTTTAAAGCATGTAAATTTTAGTGCTTTTTAAGGCTATGACAGGAATGACAAGTGGGTAATTCAATAATGACTACTGAATGAAATATTAGCTCTTTTGAGCTGTCTTTTTTTCTTGCCTGCCATCACTAATCAGTAGAAATTCTTACCCAATGTGATTTTTGGGATTTAAATAAAAATTTTAGCCACTAAAAATATATTAGAAAATCAGTAGAAGTTCTTACTGATTGTAATCGTTTTGTTTGCATATGATTTGTACTTTTTGAACTTTTTTTCAAAAGAATTTCTGATTTAAAAATAATTATTATTTGTATAGAATTAACAAAAGACTAATACAAATACAATTTAAACTACAATACAAAATAAGGGAGAAAAAATGTGTAGAGAGAGATGTTATATATAATTAATGAGAGAGTGTTTGCAGAAAGAAAGTAAAAGGAGGAAATTAATTAAAAAAAGATATTAGTGAAAGAAGCGTGTAAGTAAAGAAAATGTGCAAAAAGGATTTAGTGAGATGTGCAAAATAGTGATTGCGAACAATATGTGCAAAGAAGTCAATAAAAAAAAAGTATCGAAGTTTGTAGGAGCTAAAGAAAATACTCGTAAAACACCTACGAATGGCTTTCTCAAAAAACATTTTTAGATATTTATAACTTTTTGAAAAGCACTGTATCAACCTCAAACATAAACTAGTTAGAAAATGCTAATATCTATTTAAACGTAAGTATAGTTCAATACGTTAAAACATCAATGTATCATCTCTTCTGAGTTCAAATTTTCACTCCCAATAAAATTACTTTGGACTTGCCAACACTGAGTGTAGCTCAGCACCTATCTCTAACCAAGAAGTCAGGAGTTTGAAACCTCCTACCCCACCTAAAAAAAAAGAAAAAAAATTACTTTGAACATGGTTACAAGTTCTCATACATTATATTATTATAATTACAAAGGAGAGATTTAGGTGGGCTAATTAGCATCATGATCACCACTGTGAAGGCCCACCTCCCATTCTAATGGGATAACAAAGGCCATGCACCCATTTTTCCACAGCCGAAAAAAAAACATATATATATATATTTTTACAATCACTCCCTCCCTCTAGTTTATTGTTCAAAAGGCTCCACCAAAAATGATTAACTTGCCAAACCCTATTGGGGACCTCATAGGTGAGGTTCTATTTTATAAGTTCCATTGAAGAGAATATTATTGAATAGGAGGAAGGTTCTATAATTTACCTAATCAATGTACGAGGATCATACAAAATAAATTAACGTACCTTCTAAAAATAACATGAGTATAACTCAACTCGTTGTAACATCTATCTCCAATTAAAAAGTTGTGAATTCAATACTTAAAAAAATTACCTAAATATCAACTTACTTGATAAAACAGTATTTTTTTTAGTACAAAAAATTTAAGACTAGTGTCTTAACCAAATAAAATAAACTACATTCAAGTTGGCAATCAAAAATATTTTTAAAGCTCTAAATATACTTAGAAATAGTATTGTATTAAAAATTGTAGTATTTCGATAGCACGTAGAAAACTTAAAATATAAAAAAGGAATTAGTGAACAAACTTATGATTTTAAAAACAACAAACAACGGCATTCAACGAATCGTCTCGAGTTGAACAAGTCATGTTCTACCACCAAGGAAGACGATTGTTCTTTTGTTCAATTTTCTTGATTGTTTTAAGTGATTTCAGTTTGCAAAACAGTTTGGAAATCATAGACAAGGCAGGATGAGAGATGAGACATCATAAGAATTAGATTCTCCATGACATAGCATTAATTGGATGCAAATTTTAACTCTAACCACAACCATGAATAGCAGCACCACAGCCTCACTGGTGGTGTCGGAGGACCCCGACATCCCAACCCGGTCGCTGCCCTTGTTTCGTTCCTAGTTTCTCGTCAAAGTTAAACATGTTACCAACAAGCTCTTCCAAACCATTTGCAGAAATATAAAGGGTTATGCAACTTTTTGGCATAGGTAATATTTCTCATTCACGCCTTTCTTTCGACATCGATGGTATTCCCAGCAGACAAATGGTGAAATCGACCAAAATAAGAGAAGGAAAACTGGGGTATACAGTCACAGATATCCTGAAAATATGCCTAGTTATATAGGGGAAGTGGAAAATTCATATTGGTATTTGATATTTCACTCGTAAGAGAGAATCAAGCCAAAATCAATCATTTTCACTGCAGTGAGTACATTTCATAAATGTCGATGCCATTCGAATCCATCAATCAAAAAGCAAGAGGTCTCATCTCCCTACACCCTTCAAACTCAAGAACCGATCAGTGCAAGTACTCATTGGTACAAAGCAAGCATGCTATACTCGGATAGAACTATATCAACTTCCAAAACAATCAAGATTATCAGCCTAATTAACCTCGAATTATACTCTTCGAACATCGCATTAGTAATATGTTTCTCCTACATCCAATACATGATTTGTGACAATTCAACTATCATTAGAAGATTCAGTTTTGGTTGAACTCAAATTCAATATCTACAACAAACATCTAGAATTTCAAGTCTCAACAGATAACTTTTAAGGGAAAAAACTTCTCACCATCTACGGGCATGCTTTTCAACCCTAAGAACTACCACCTTGAAACTTTCCCTAGCACGGAATTCGATGTCCATTCACTGGCCGTTATCTTTGACAAATAGTCAAGTTTATGATGATAAAATGAAAACTTTAACAAAAATGAATTTAATGTATTAATCATATCAATGATTCGACATACCACCTTGTCTACTAAGCAACCGCCAGCTAACTTCTGGCTCTAGATATATCTATCTCATACACGAACTATATTGCATAATAGTCAGAATGACTATACACATTCCATTTTAATCATTATATACAATGTTACCGTAGACGTTTCTTAATATTCATGTTGATAAAGTATTCATCAAACATCAAAACCATATAAACTGTTCATCACCTAGAGAATTATGCTTAATTATCAGTGTAATGAGAATTATAGTGATTTATAGGTAGCAGTACATAACATTTAAACAACAATTTATATACAAGTGTGGGGAGGGGAGTAGTTGAGAAAATTCAACATAAATTTGGCAAAAGCCCACATAGATAACCAAATCAAACCTATCACTATCGTCATTTTATGCATTCACCTAAAAATCTTATCAACTTTACCATTGAAACCAAACATCGTCTAACCCAAAGCTAAATGACATTTCATCCATCGTTACAGATCCTTTAGAAGGAGTTTGTTTTGCAAGTTCCAATATTTTGAGAATATATGTGGTCTCGAATTGGAAACTTCAAGACTAGAACGTCTCATAGGCGTGTATAAGAATGGGTTGTAGATGTCTTAAGTTGATGAAGATAGCACGCTCTAAATATTTCAATGGTAGAAGAACATGAACTCTGAATTCTCATCACTAAAGTTCAAACTCCCATAACAAGCAGGTTATAGATGTCTAAGTTGACGAAGATAGCATGCTCTAAATATTTCAATGGTAGAAAAACATGTACTCTAAATTCTCATCACTAAAGTTCAAACTCGCACGACCAACGCCCCCTTTAAAAATTAGATTAACGTTCCTTAAAACCATCATAACTATGAAATAAAAAAATGAGACTGAAATAATAATTGTGAAAATAAAATGCAAATATTGTCAAGGGAAGTACCTGATCATCCAAAGAATACTGTGGCACCATAAAAACTCACATCATTCCACTTCTTCACCTACACCATTATAGATTCATTGATTCTGACAAAGAAGAGAATTAGAGGGAATGATATGTATAAATATATATATAGAAAGAAGAGTCCCATATGATCATATATTGTTATTACCATTTTCCATAACACAACATAACATTCCTAAAGAGAAATGAGTTTCAACAAGAGAAAAGAAGGAAAAACAAAAACAAAATATAAACAAACAAAATGCTAACAGCTACACTTGATATATATGCTTACATAGATAATTTGACAAGATGTTTTTTCAGGTAAAAGAAAGGGTTCAGTTCAAAACTTCAAACAAAAACTACCATTCTCTTCTCTCTCTCTCTCTCTCTTTCTCTAGTTTTCTCTGTTAAAATGGTGGTGGGGCTCGAGGAGGGTTCCAGAACACATCATGTGAAGAAACCTGACCATTTGGCACCAAATTCGGAGGCACATTGTAAACCGCCATCGGCGGCGGCGGCGGCTGCTCCCCCATGCTCTGAGACGTGGAGTTCTGG